GAGAATTTAGAGGGTTAAAATGTTATGGGGTTGTTAACCAATGTCATAAAACAGCATGTGTGTTACTGTTACATGGGAAACTATCTGTTCTGTAAGCCTTCACCTGAAGTACAATAAAATATTAAAAAAAGAAAATGGGTTTATACCTTCTTTAACATCATTGATACAAGGAATAAATGAGAATAAAAAAATAAATGAGATGGTATGTGTGGAAGTGCTCTTTTTATTACTGAAGTAGAAAATCGTGGTAAACCAGGAGAGGTTGTGCAAAATGGAAGGTAGCTGGGAGTATACCAGCTAGCTTGAGGTGGCCAAACAACATCTCTGGGAACTCTGAGAAGATTCCTGAGTAGGCAGAAATGCTTTGATGAAGGAGGCAAAAGACAAACTTGTGGATAAGAAACGAGTAGGTGCCTCTTTCCAAAGGCATTTCTTTTTTTTTTTCTCCCATACAAAAGTTTATGCATACATTGTTATGTGACTCTAAGTGCTCTCCCCATACTGTGACAGCACACTCCTCATTTCCACTCCTGATTCCCCATGTCCATTCAACCAGCTCCTAACCCTCTCTGCCTTCTCATCTCACCTCCGGACAGAGGCTTCCCGTTTAGTCTCTCGTATCTACTTGAGCTAAGAAGCATACTCCTCACGAGTATCACTTTATGTCCCACAGTCCAGTCCAATCCCTGTCTGAAGAGTTGGCCTCCGAAATTGTTTTAGTTCTGGGCTGATAGAGAATTCAGGGACCATGCTTTCCAGGGTACCTCCAGTCTCAGACCGTTAAGTCTGGGCTTCTTACTAGAATTTGAGTTCCGCACCCCACCTTTCTCCTGCTCCAGCAGGGACTCTGTTGTGTTCCCTGTCAGGGCGGTCATTGGTGGTAGCTGGGCCCATCTAGTTCTGGTCTCAGGCTGATGAAGTCTCTGGTCTGTGTGGCCCTTTCTGTCTCTTGGGTTAATACTTTCCTTGTGTCTTTGGTGTTCTTCATTCTGCTTTACTCCAGGTGGTTGGGAACAACTGATGCATCTTAGATGGCTGCTTGCAAGCTTTTAAGACCCCAGATGTCACTCACCAAAGTAGGATGCAGACCATTTTCTTAAGCTTTGTTATGCCAATTGACCTTGATGTCCCCTGAAAGCATGGTCCCCAGACCCCTACCCTTGCTACTCTATTCCTCAAAGTGTTCCATTGTATTCAGGAACCTTCTTAGCTTCCAAAGGCATTTCTGACTCTCCTTTCAAAACCCTATAGTCTTCCACCTAGAGTCTTATCTCAGATCTCCTCTCTTTTCCTTCAAGCCCAGCTTCTTACACTTCAGGAACTCAATTCAACAAACATTTTTGAGCACTTAATATGTACCTAGCACTGTCCTTGGGAGTACACAGATGAATAAGACCAGTCTGCTGTGATGCAGTGAATTATTTTATATGGCCTTTTTAGCCATGGTCTTGTAACTCCCATAAAATGATTGATGGGACTAGGCAAATAGGGTGCTTGTGGCCCACCAAGGAGATTGGACAGCCTGCTAATAATGGAAATAAGGTGCATGGAACCCTGGCGGGGGTGGAACTATACAAATAAAGTACTTGGAACCCTTGTAGGGGATTGGTCAGTTTTGCCATCCTGCTAGACTTAAAGGGAGCTTAATCCCAGAGGGTGGAGGGGGACCTAACTACATCAGGAAGAAGAGCCGGGAGCGGAGCGCATCCCTTGGAACCAGGTCCCTGTGCTGAAAACCTACTAGACCTAGGAGACAGAGAGAGCTGTAATACTGAAGATGGCACGAGATGGCATCAACATGGGACCCACAGGCTAGGCTTGCCGAT